TATTATTATTATTATTATTATTATTATTATTATTATTATTATTATTAATAATAATAATAATAATTTTTTGGGGAAATTAATTGATCCCCCCCAGTATATAACATGACAGTGTTTATAAAACATAATTCAAAGGCAGGCTAAAACCTAATTGCTGATCTAATTTATTATTTTTATGTTCAGTAAATATTCTTAAACATTATTGTGAAGCAGTGAATTAGTGATGACACCACACTTCATGTCTTTTAATATTTCCTAGGCATGAATTTTATGTCAGAATTATAATTGCCCATTTTGTTGTTGTTGTTCCTCACAACACTATGTTTGAACAAGGAGTTTAAAATTTATTTTTGACCAGTAGGGTAATAGTGGTTTAGTTTGTTTATTTAAAGAGGAAATAGGTGCCCATTTTTGCAATAAATAAATAAAAATAAATAGTGACAGATTGCTTTAGGCAAGGTTGACTATATGCTCAACAACTGCTAAATAATATTTTTAATTAATCAGTGACACATCAAAATGCACATATATATATGTATAAATATGTTCATCCTGTTAGCTTAGCCTTCGCTTTGCTCCTTGGTTATAATGCGAAACGTTGCCTAGCAACTGTATTTTTACAATCTTTGGTCAGTAGGCGTGGATAAAAGACGTGACAAACGTCACTTTTAGTCTCAGTCATTTGCTTAACAGTGGATTTAAAGCTACATATTTGGTTTTATTTAAATAACCTGATAGCCTTAGAAGTGTCCAAGTCTTTAGATTAAATGCAATTAGTTATCCATCCATCCATCCATTATCTTTACCCGTTTATTCCATTTTGGGTCACGGGGTGCAATTAGTTATATATATTATATATTTTTTAAACATATCGTGAGACGTGATGACAGCAATGCAACTTCTGGGTGAATAAATTGGCCTTTTGGTTCCAGCAAGGCCATGTAAGCAAATTGAACACAGAAACACAAAGCTCACTGCTTGTGAGTAATGAGCACTAGTTTTTTTTTTTAAAAAGCGTACTTTAAGCTTGTAAACCTACCAACCCGACGAGACATTTTAGAGTCAGGAGCTTTAAGTGTCAACAGTGTAAAAAAAAAAAAAAAGAAATGGAGTAGGCTTAAATTCACTCTGTGATGGCATTTGACTTTGATCACATGAGAAATATTCATGGAAGCACAAACACCAGCTCTGTCACCATTATCCAGCCTGACAGTGATACCTCTCAAGGCTGTCTATTAATTAAAGTTGCTCTTACCATGTGGGACGACGTCCTATCTGGGCACAAAAATGGTTTTTCCATCTCTTGTGGGGGGCTCTTGAAAAGGGGGCAATCTTCCCTCTCCAGCTTCTTGTGGGAAATTTAAAAGTGTACAGAGAAAGACATGGGGATTTCTAGCTCATTTATAAAGACGAGTTTATAATCCTTTCCTGCTTAATAACTTAAAAGGATTCAATTTCTCCCCTCATTTATGGGGTTATGATCACATATTGTTAGGCCCAGATAGCAGCATTTCAAGGTTAAGGTTTCCTGCTCGAAAATATCAGAAAATAAGCTGTAAGCCCATAGGTGCCCTTTGTTTGGCCTGCAATTTTCTTCACAAATGCTGATAGGCCCATTTTTAGATGCTACTTTTAATGTGATAACAACGATGACGTCGATAAGATGCACGCAGCAATGACAAAAAAAAGATGTGATATTTAATTATAGCATATAATTTCACCATCGAGAATTAAATTTGGTGGGCTTACGT